ATAAATTTATATATATAATATAAATATATATATATAAATATATTTGTGTGTGTGTGTGTGTTGGGGCAGGATAGGCACACAGCAGGTTTCTTTATGATTCAAGCAGACCGGACGGGTAAAGGAGTCCTGGAGCCCTCGGCTTTCTCAGGCTTATACTGAGCTGTTACATGTAGTGCAGCAACCAGGTACATGGCAGGCAGGGGTGCAGCGGGGCCAGGAGGCAGACAGGCCTTCAAGCCCTGGCAAGTCTTCACTCTGGGGTTCTTCACTCTGGCTTCTTTTGCCCCTTCTCTCTTCTGCCTCTCTCCTGCTTCTGTTTCTCTCTGTGACTATCTCAATACTCCTCCCATGGCCCACAGAAGTAAATAACACAGCTTACAGCAATGTAACAACTGCAGATGCCCCATCAGGCAGGGCAATCCTAATGGTGGGAGGGCAGAAAAGCCTGAAAGCCATTTACCCTACAATATGTGAATCTTAAATATTTAATAAAATTAAATACCGTTAGTAAATAAAATAATAGTTATTTATTGAGGAGTATAATTATGAAATAATATGAATCATCTATTTAAAATTTATATTTAAATGAATAGTTCAGGAAATTCAGCCCTGCTAGAGTAATTGGGTTTATGGCCTGTGTTAGTGTTTTTGGGTTGTGTAACAGATCATTGTACACTTAGCAGCTCATAACACAAATGAGTTTGTAGGATAAATGGTTTTCAGGCTTTTCTGCCCTCCCACCATTAGGATTGCCCTTCCTGATTGGGCACCTGCATTTGTTACATTGTTGTAAGTTGTGTTATTTATTTCTGTGGACCTTGGCTCAGTATTGAGATATTCGCCAAGAGAAGTGGAAGCAGAAGAGGCGGGAGAGAGAGAACGGGAGAAAGAAGCCCAGAGAAGCCCAGAGTAAAGACTTGCCTGGGGCTTGGAGGCCTGGCTGCCTCCTGGCCCCCCTGCACCCCTGCCTGCTGTGTACCTGGTTGCTGCACGACATGTAAAAGCTCAATAAGAGCCTGAGAAAGCCACCGAGGGCTCCAGGACTCTCCTTTACCCACCCGGTCTCTTGGATCCTAGAAATCCTGCTCAGTGACCCATCCTGCCATGACAGAGTTGAATCAGTTTCTGTAGGTTAGAAGTCTGGGCTTGGAGGGTTTGAGGCAGAAGTTCAGTGTGGCTTGTGAATAGAGCACAGGGGTGAGAAGACCTGGGGAAGGAATAGAAGTTTTGAGGATGGCGAGCTAAGAAACTTTGAGAGATGTTAACAAGTATAGAGCTTCTTTTTAAAGCAATACAAAACAATGTTGGTGTTTTAATTGGATGAAGTTTAGGATTACCTTTTTTTTTTTTTTTTTTGAGATTTGTGGGCCTTTAATTTCCTAATGGAGGCAATAGAAGTGATTTTCTCCTGTGGTTCTACATTCTGTCTGAATTGCTTTTGTGGATTAAGGAACTTTACAGACAGTTAATATAGAAGCCAGGAGCCCCTGAATTGAGAGTTGAAGTGTTCTTTTTATAGGTATTTTGGAATAAAGAAAGCTGTACAAATTCAGGCACCAACTCGACTTTTTCACCATCGTCATGGTTATTTTTTCAATTCTATAAGATTACTATAGAGTGAAGACTGTCAACATCTTGTCTTAAGAAGAAGTTGAATAGTAGTTCCTTTGGAAAAGATAGAGCAGAGCTGAGGGATAGGCTTTTTGATGTTGTCTGCTGCTTTTATTTTTTGGAGAGGGACAGAAAGATAATTAACTCAGGTTTGACCATATCTTGCTCAAGGTGCCTTTCATTCATACAAGTGAAGATGTTTTGTGGACAATTGAGATACAGGCTGAAAGTTAGAGAAAGGGACTTTGGTTGGATATATAGATGCGGGAGTAGATGAAGGACTCTTCTGTTTTTAAGGGGCCAAAATTTCATATTTTGAGAATATAAGAAATTGTGGAACTTCTCCCTGGAAAAATAAACATATATTTAACACAAAATACTCAATAGAAATTATAGGGATCAATAGACTCCTGAGTATCAAATAGGGATCCACAATTAGGAAGCCCGTCTACCAATGAAGCTATCATGACTTAGGAATTCACAGGGGAAAGAGGAGATTTAGGGAGAGGCACCTAAATGACACCCAACGCCGGCCTCAGTTTCCCTCAGCCAATAAAAGGAAACAGTTTGAGGAGAAGGAAAGTAGTTTAATTTGTCGACAAACTGAGGAGGGCAGCAGACTCCTGTCTAAAAGACCACTGTTCTCTTTGTCAGAGTGCAGGGGTATTTATTCAAAGGAATCAAACAAAAGGGAGATGGGAAGGGTCTGCATGTCCATTTGATGCAGGCATATGGAGATTTTGGGTGGGCGCCAGCTTGCTTTGTAATACCTGGTGTTTAACTTCCTTAGATGTTTAACTTATTATCCTCCTAGAGATGTCCTTCCTTTCCTTAGAATGCAAGAAGACAAACTTGTTAAATACAACAGATGGGAATGCCTATCTGATGACGCAGGAAGAGAGACCTGACCTGTTTCACTACGTCATAGAGATGAGCAGAGACAGATGGGTGAAAAATCAAAAGAGCAAAGAATGAAAATATTTAAAGAATGATAGAGTGGGAGCCAACTAGGTAAAAAAAAAAAATAAAAAACAAATGGCAGAATTAAGAAGTAAAAGAACTGACATGTAGCCTTTGCAATTGTTCTTAGCAATGAGTATGTAGTATGATATCCTGGGAAGTGGCAGGGCTTCGGCAAACTTTGGATCCCAGGCCTGTCACCAGCATCCTGAATCAGAATCTGGTAAAGCACCCCTGGTCCATTGCAGAAGATTCTTTAGCAGACTTGGATTGGAGCCATTTCATAAGGATACCAGTTGAGCTGGGATAGGTGAGTATATAGCACATTTAAATAGGCTATTTAAAAGCAAAATGTTAAAGATAAAAGAAGAAATGGAACCATCAAAAAGTCTGTTCCCTGAGGCAACAGAAAGAGGTGTTAGACTGGGCAAAAAAGGAAAGATCCCTTTTCTATTTTAATGGCTGGGAAACAGTAACAGTTGTGTGTAGATTTGCTTGTGGGAGTCTTCAATTTCTCTGCAAAGTAGAAGAGCTTATTTGCTGCCAGGCTAGGGTGTATTCTCTTGATTGATAAAAGTATTATGTATGCATAATAATAGACTACAATTGAATTTATGAATGGATGAATGAATGAAGAAATGATGACCATCCCAAGAAGATATCTATATCTGACAGGAATTTAGTAGGATTCAACTATTGAAGGAAATCTTTTTTTGTAAAGGTTCTCCCATGAGGAGAAATCAATTCACATAGTCAGTTGATGTTTACTGAGCACCTACTATGTTCCAGGCCTTGTTATAAATGTAGATGATAAAGCGGAGAATGATACCAAATGTCTGTCTTCCTAAAGCTTACCTTCAGGTAGATATAAGACACATGAACAATGAATAATAAATAATAAAATTTCAGAAAGTGATAAGTGATCTTACAACAGTGTAATTTCTGTAAAAATGGGGAGGTTCTGTGTTCCCTGCCTCACATAATGAAGAGTGGAACTGAGTGGTGAGAAAAAGACTTGGAGGAGGAGACATATACAATAAACCTATGAAGGAGGGTGCACTTTCTTCTCAGCTTTGGATTATACCAGGGACTTGGGGGACATGGAAGGAGACACGTGGAGTTGAGACATGTAGAGCCACATGGAAGTCATTTGGGTGAGAGACACTGGGAGGTTCGGCAAATGACAGACATTACTTTGATGTGTACTCTGATTTTGTTCCTTTCATCCCAGACTTGCCTGGTCCTTTCTGTCCCTTTCCTATGGTTCCTTGGCAGAAGGTTCCTTAGATGTGTGGCAACTTTTCAGACCTCAGCAGCCTTGCTGTGGATCAACCCATGAGGGGGATAGTAACATTGGGTGTTTCATTGGGAAACAATTACCCTTTTTTCTTTTGTTTCTCTATGCACATTATCCTATTAAAAGTTTCACACTTTGTCTTTATGTGGTGGATGGCAGAAGCGCTTTAGAGCATGAAGATTTACGGGTCCTGGGTTACTTCTCATTTTGCCCTCAAACAATATGTTGACAATTAAATGGGGCCAGGGGATGGGATGGTTATGGGGGGGTTCCATTTGAATGGGTTGTGCAGGAAGGATTATCTGGAAGTGGCATGTGGGACCTCAGTGAGGAAAAGCAGGCAACAATGATAAGGTCTGTGACAGAGATTTGGAGGCAGATGAAATTACAGGTAGAAGAGAAAACACTGGTTTGTAAATGGAAGGACAAGCAGATCATATGTGGTGTAGGAGGTGGGGAATCAGAGTGAGGAGTGAAAAGAGATATGAGACAGGAGTGGGTCCGTGGCAGAGCACACTCTGCTTCTGAGTACATGAATGTTAAAGAACTTTCTGATTGCTTTGTGGTGAATGAATTAAAAGGAGTACACAGAATACCTTTATTTTCATTAAACAGTGGCTTTATTCCAGAACTTCCCTGTAATTCTTAAGTCTTTAAAGGTAACTGCTTACCTATCTGAAGATGAATGCCCCTCCAGTTTTCCATCAGCTGTTTCCTTATATCAAAGGCTAATCCATCAGTCAGCTGTTGGACTGACCAGGGTGACTGACCCTGGCTCCCAGAGAGGGCTAGAAGGTCATTCTCAGAGGGCAAGGGAGAAAGGCCTCTTGATCATTGCAGGCGATGCAACCCAAGTCCTTGCCTCCCTTAGTTTTGTGCCCTTTCTGCCTTATTTTCTTGCTGGCTGGATTAAGTCCCCCCCCCCCCGCCCCCCATTCCACCTCCCCAGTTGTGCATTTTCTTCCTAGCAGGATTTGAACTGAGCATGTTTCTAGCGGGTTTCCACTAGCAGCTCGCTTTTAGAGATCCAGATCCAAAACCCACCCTCCGGTCCTCGCTCACGAAAGGGGGCGGGTGTGGAGCGCGGACCTTATCTCTTGGGCTCCGCCCCCAGGGCTGGGAGCTCGTGGCGCCTCAGCGCTCTGCACTGCTGCGGGGAGACCGGACTCAGTGGCAGGCAGCAAGCCGCTCCAGCCAGGTTTTGTCCAGGTTGAGGCTTGTCACTTGCTGCCACATCCCCATATTCCTGGCGAAACTCTCAGCGGACTGTAACTGCATCCCAAACTCTGGACGCTGCGCCAGGTAAGGTGACACCGCTTCCCCCCTCTGCTCGCCAGAATGACAAACGGGGGACTTTGAGGCTGGCTCGTTGAGGGCTATAATTTGGCATTTTGGGCGACCTGAGGGTGCAGTTTCTCCCTGCGGAGACGCAGCTGGTGATGCTGAGGTAGGTAAGCTCCACTCCCAGACTCGAAGCTGAATTGTCAGGGTTTTTCTTGCAAACGCGGTTGTTAGGGGTCTCTGGGCACTGATTTCTGCTTCTGAGAGTTTGTCTTCTGAGAATGAATAATGATAGTGATCTACTCCCCTAAACTCATCCTCTTCTGCCTTTATCTTCTTGAAAGGGTCTGTGGCATCCACATGAGCCTCGCTGGGTAGTGTGACCCCGGGAGCACCCCACCGTGTGCTGTGAGAAGACCAGAACTTCCTTAAGTAGCTGCACAGCTAACACACTTGAGAGCTTTAAAAAATTAATTGTTTGAACAGCACCCCAGACTAATTAAATCAGAATCTCTGGAGTGGGAACTTGGGTGTCTACATTAAAAAAAAAAAAATACAACAATAAACCTGTTCTCAGGTGATTTCCAAATGCAGTAGTTTGACAACCAGCTAGTTGGAGCAGTGTTTCCAAACTGTGGTCTCTGGCCAGCAGCATTCCCTTGGGAACTTTTGGAAATGCAAAATCTAGGGCTGGGGTTTTCACCATAGACCTACTACCCCAGAATCTGAAACTCTGGGAGCTGCTCCCAGCCATCTGTGTTTTAACGAGCCCTCCAGGTGATGCTACCACTTGCTCAAATTGGAGAACTATTGGACTGCAGCTCAGTTAAGGTGAGAAGAGCAAACACCTACAAATTCTCCTCCACAGAGGGAGAAGGAAACCGACTATTTCCCAGGAAATTTTAGGTATTCATCAGTAAGGTTTTACTATATTCAGAAACATACTGTGGACTCAGCCATCATATTGACAAATTTTTATATAGTAGAACTTGAGTACTTGTTTTAGAAAAGATTAGGATTTTTTGTTTTTAGAGTTGAAATTAAGTCAAAGAAGAAATGTACATGTGAGTCTTTGGCTATAATAACACAGATTTTTGTCCCACCAGTGAGATGATCCCAGATTGTTCTTGTTATCAGTGCAAATTATAGAACTCATGCAATATTTTTATTATTTTGAGCAATAGGAGATTTTAAGGGATTCATACCAATTCTCCAGGGTGAAATAGAATTCAGTATTGCTGATCTCTGGATGATCTGAGATGGTTTCCTTTTTTCTTTAACAGAGATCTGAGATTTCAAAACTTTGGCTAAAAGTATTCCAGCTGTTTCTAAGTCATTAGTACAGAAATAGAATTACTTTACAAATGGGCTTAAATGGATTAGAAAATCTGACTTTGGGTAAAAAAGTTAGGCTAGGCATGACTCAATCCAGCACATGTGTCTTGTGGTGTATACAGTGTTCACTGTACCAAGACTTTCTGTACAGGGAGTTGTTTGTTTTTCAAGCTGTTTTTTTTTTTTTTTTTGTATGCCAGTTCATGGTTGAGGGATACAGACTTCTTAAGGGACAGATATTAAGCTGCGTTAAGAGAACTGGGGGAATAGGAATAGTTAAGAAGGAGCCTTGGTCTGAGGCAAACTTGAGTTCAGAGCCTGCTCTTCTGCTTCTCTGAGCTTCTAGAGAGTTGTGTGACTTCTTTGAGCCTTACTTTGATCTGTAAAATGGAGAATGTAGTAATACAGTATTTACATCATTTACATCCTCACACTGTTTCCAGAATTAAGTGAAATAAAGCTACTAAGTGCCTAGCATAAGTATTTGTTAGCACAAAATATGGACACGTGTGTACATACATACACAAACTAAAACAAAACTAATTCCCAAACACTTCAAAATATAAACTATGTCGATGACATGCTAAGATTTTATATCTATATGCCAGATACACCTTTAGAATTTAGTTTTTCCTTTTTTATCAGAATGTGAATATATAGACATCTTCAAATTATCTTCATAATTTTATTGCATATTGTATATGGAATCGTCTAGAAAAAAATTAAAATAAATTAGCTCCAAATAGACAGCCTAGGTTTTTGTCTATGTGAAAGGATTTCATCATCTGGTAGGCTTTATAATCTATTAACATTCACATTTTAATAGTCTTAAAATACTGCTCTCTAGAATGTCATCCTTGTAAAAGAACATTCAAGTGGTAAAAAAGCACTTAAAAGTGGCATACTGTGGCCTCCAAGAGAACCCATTTCAAAGAAGTTAGCTGGTATTTCTTAGGTTCTGGAGACAAGGAATAAAATGAAATGTTATCCAGTTATATGAAGGTTTGTCCAAGATTATAGATGTGAAAGCAGACTGAGTACACAGAATAAGACGGGCTTCAATTGGCAAAAAAGGGTAGTGAGGTAATTTAAGAGTCCTTTTCCTCTTTAACTGCAATAATTTCAAACCACATACACAAAGAAGCAATTTCTTTCACATTATTTGATTGAAGCTGATCTGGATGATCCTCTTAGGACCAAATAGTTCTAAGTGAAAAAGTATTTGTGGAATTAATTCCAAAAAGGATGCCAGATGATTTAGTACTTTGAAATTATTTTTGATTCTCCTTTAATTTCAGTTTTAAATAATATTATGTGAGATGTCTAACTTGGAGTGCTTTTTTATGATTCTCATTGCATGTTTAAATGCAAGAGTTTATACCCTATGACCAATCTTATGTGACATCTGGAAAACTAAATGTTAAGTTTAGGAAATCAGGTCTTCATTTGCATACTTTTGAAATTACAGTTTAATGCTATTAAGTTGAGTATAATCAGAATGTGATATTATTAGACTGAGTATAATCACAATTTAATATAAGTGTGGTTTTCTGTTTGGCTCACTGAGATGAGGAATAGCTGTGTGACTGAAAGGGAAGATCAGGGACACATCTCTTGATGGGAAAAACAAAGGCATGTGGAAGCACATTCAAACTCAGTAATCCAATTATGTGTTCTGGGTAATTTAACTGAAGAGCAGAGTCTGTGATGTCACAATTCACAGTGACAGGCTGTAGTAGCACTGCTTGCAGTGAGTGGCCAATTAGGAACGATCAATATTGTAATGCCCCGGGACTTCTTAATTTTCCACTTAGAGGCATATGACTTGGAGCAGAGATAATCATGAAGAAGTTAGCTTCATTATCCTTGATTTGCATAACCTGACTCTTAGAAAGGTTTTGGTGAACAGTCTGATTCATTATCATTCTTAAAAGAAATGTAGTTGAAATACCTATTTCTGGCAGGTGTTCTTTTAGTCTTACTCAAAGACAGTTATGGAGGCCTACTTCCCCAGTTTTCTCCATCTGAAAACCCTGAATCCTGACACTCTTTATTAACTAGTTGTTTAAACTCCCTTTTGCTTCTGTTTCCTCATTATAGAATGGGTACGAGAAACTAATCAGGTTTGTTGTGAGGACTAAAGGACTTAACATATACAAAGTCTTTTCATAGTGCTCACTCACAGTAGATACTTAAGAATTTGGCATTGTGTTACCTTGATCACTAATGAATGATTAAGCTAAAGGTCTTTTTTTTTTCTGTTTTCATCTTTGAAAATCGGATTCTAAAGAGAAAGTGGTAATTTAGGTCATATGAATTTGATGGGGTGTCTGGAATTTGATAGTAGAAGCAGTTGTTTCAGAAAAGTACTTCAAGTTTTTCAGAAAATAATGCAGTATTTTAAACATTTCTTAAAGTCTTTAGATGCAGTTGCTCTTAAGAGCCAGAGATCACACTTAGAGAGTCACTGCTATAACCCACTGGTTCCCAGGTGACTGCACTTCAGAACTACCTGAGAAAGGTTTTTGTAGAATAATGATTTAAAAAATTAATTTGTTTAATTTGCTGTGCAAAGAAGTAAAGGAATCATGTCCTTTATAGAAAGAGACCCTATAACATGTGTACACTAGAGCTGCAGTGAGGAAACAGAGACTTGGAAAACTCATTCTTGGCTATGGGTTTATGAATAGTTAGGTACTGTTAATGCTGGATAACAACTCAGGTTTCTTAGGTTCTAATCGTAACTACCTTGCCTTCTGAAAAATCAGATAATGAGAGAGAGACACATAACTCAAGTTATAGAGTGCTATTGGAATTCTGTAGATCTGTCTGTTATACTTAACGCAGTTTGATTTTTGGGTATTGTTAGTGAAAAGATTTCCTTCTTGAAAAACCGCTGAAAACATGGTCATGATGCCAAGAAGATCTATAACTTTCAATTGTGAAAAGGATGATCTTTTCCATTAGGATTGTTTCTCCTAAGGATTCAATTTAGTTTTTTCTCTTTATAGTTTCTCTGGCATTTTGATTTTTACTAATGAAGAACTCAGAGATATCTGAAAATTTCAGGAAATGTTGACAATTTTCTTAAGTCCAAGTTTGGTGACCTTCTGGGAATCCTGCCAGTTTTGATTCAGTGTTTAGTTTTTGTTTTGGCTTGTCTTGTTTTGATTTAGGTTAATTTAGCAGTGATTGCACTGTTATGTTACCCATTAACTGTTTGTTTTTACAGTTATTAGTGTCAAGAAGAAAAGATTATGGACCAAGAAAATTTCCTTTTTAAATTCAAAGTAAAAAAAGAAGTTCTAGTGATGTTTGAGCCTTATAGGCAATTTCTTCTTTGGAAATTTAGTCTTTTAATTTTATTGTTATACATCAGGCATAAATGAAAACAATACTCAGAAACTTTTATAGTAACTTTTCAGTTCATAGGCGATTTAATGATTGAAACAACTGATTGGGTATATACTTTAAAAAATTATAAACTTTGTTGTGTATGTTCCTACTAATTTATTAGGAAGAGTTTAATTTGACTTCATAGGATATGTCTATGTATGTATTTTTCAGTAGAGCCCTGAGACAGATGGAATGTTAAAGATAAGAGAGGGAGAAACAATCTTTGTAAGTGTTCAGGGATCTACCAAAAAGCGATTAAGTGCCTACCAAGTGCTTGGCTATCTCTTGGG